CATCTGTGTGCATGCATGCACACACCCATTGAACTACAACATCTGTGCGCATGCATGCACGCACACACCACTTCAAATTTAAAAAGGAATTTGCAATCAAATAAATTTGTTTCCACACAGGCCAGAGAACTTGCACTTTCAGCACCCAGTCTTCTAGAACAAGGATAGGGACGGAAAGGCTACCTTCCTTTTCTTCTCTCCCTCCACCTAACCTCACTTCTGAACACAGGGCTTTCAAATCAATCTGGATTTCTTTGGACCATTCTCTTCTCAGGTTTCTTAAAACTGTGGCCCAACAACAGACTCAGTGCCTGGTCCAGCACACTCCCTAACTACATTCCAAATACTTGTCCTTACGCCCACAGATAAGTGGAGTCCTCACCCAGCATCAAGTAAACTTCTCCTTGAAATAGACAGAGATCATTATAGAAAACCGCAGTCAATCATAGGACAGAGTTTGGATCCCAGTCCAAATAAATACATCTATAAAGCAGCTCCCATTTCTAAGGCTCAGGAATATTTTGCAAGAGGAAGAAGAAATATTGTAAGAAGCAGAGAATCAGGGAGTTTGAGACCATGTCTCCTACAATATCAAAAGCCACACACATAAACTTCACCAACATAAGTGCCTAATCATGAGCTGAGCAAGAACAATAGAGATGTTTAAGTGGATTCAGGAAAGATCACAGGCCTCAATGCTACACAAAGAACTACAGACCACTAAGGAATGCTGAGCATGGGAGAAATAGTCTTTCCCAAGGAGGAGCACACAGATTTGTCATTCAATATCAAATGGTCAGCCCTGAAAACATATATACAAGTAATATTATAAAGTCTGAGCAGGTTATATTTTGGAATATATATGCATTTACATACATGCATGTAACAACATTTAATGAGGCCATGGATTTTACAGAGAGTAAAGAAGGGTATATGAGAGGGTTTAGAAGGAGAAAGGGAAAGGGGAAATGGTGTAATTGTAATCTCAAAAAACAATTTAAGTCACTATTAATCAGCTTGTTGAGCTAGTCAAATTGCCAAATTCTTCCTACATTTTAAGGACAGATCCTTAAAGGTAGCCTAAGCACCAGCAGGGTGAACATTCCATAGGAACTTGCTAGAAAGGTGTCACCTCAGACCTAAGCCCAGATACACAGAAACTCCATGCTACAGCCTGGCTGAAACTGCCTTGCTGAAGCCTTCCTTCCAGGTGCTTCTTGTCTAAACTTGAAGACTGCCGTCTTGGAAGTTTCTGAAGGAAGGCTGGCTAGGACTGACTCCCTCCTCTCTTTCAGCCTCCTGAAGTTTCTATTGATGTTTGCTCATCTGGGGGATATTAAAAACTTAGTGTCGGAGCATTGCGAAGAATCAGGAAAGGGGTGGTTTTTAAAGGTTAGGGGTTGTGAAATTTGGTTTTTCACCTGAATGGATTTTGATGGTAATCCATTTTGCACCCCACTGATTTTCAATTTATAACTGGTGGCACCTGATTGAATTGTTTGACCCCCCTGGCCCACTGTCAGCAGGGAACCTGGCAATTGGTGGAGTGCAATAATTTACAGAAAGCCTTGTGAAACCGATGCCTTATTGTAAATCCTATTTGGACAATTGCCCAGTTCCCAGTTATTGGCAGATATTCCTCTAACAGGACAGCCTCTATCCAGAGACAAAGTTCTGCAGAATGCTGTACACTCTTTCCCTGTATCTTCAGTTTTCAGCCCCACTATACTTCTGCTTCAACCCACAAAGTCCTTGTGGCTTCTCACACGCCCTGGCCTTCCTCATCACTCCCCAACCCACCTTCTCATGACTCATCCTACCCGCCTCTTTAGACTGGTCTAGAGAACATACCTACCAGACAGTCCCCACTACCTCAGCTCAAATCCACACCTTGTGTGCTTGAGTTTCATGATTTCCATTAATAGCATCACTTCCTCTTTATCCATCACATCATCTCTGAAGCCACTTCCTCCCTGGGAGATCCTTCTTTCCTAGTCATCTAATGCCATCTAACTTCCTTCAAAAATGTCCCTGGATCTCGTCTTTCTTCTCCATCCCCACTTTCTCCATGGCAGTTGCTCTAATAAAGTCATAGGCAACTTAGTGCTTCGAGCAAAGCCGGGCCACAGACAAGATGGAGATTCCTTAAGAAAAAATCACCTACTGATATCTGCTGCCATGGCAATCTTAGTCCATGTAAACACACTATAAAATTCACAAAGTTGATCAAAATCTCCTGAGGATAGGTTCTCAGAATATGTCCTCATCATTAGATTACATATGACAATAATAACCTAGCTCAGCCAAACTAGGTTATGTGGTTTCCAACCTCACACATGTCACATACACACAGAGGTGAATGCAGAACACCCCAGGATAAACAACTTAGACACCCTATCCAGGATCCCTGAAAGCTGGAGGAACCAGCATTTTTAACACATCTAGAGTCCATTCCTGGGTTCTGTTAGAGATAATGCTCCATTTCGTCCACTGTATGACCTCATTGAGTAGATTATACTATTAATTACCATTGTCTCCTTGTTTTACAAATGCTAAGAAAGTGATGGCATAAGAAGATAAAGTGACTTGGCCAGGATTAGAACTCAGGGTTCTCTTCCCCAGAACCTCCCTACATCCAGCTACCCCATTCCCTGTGTCATACAAAGAAAACATGGCCATGTGCTTCATTAATGGAGTCTGATGACGGCGAGTGGTTCCGAGGGAACACTCACACGGCAGCTTCCCAGCAAAGCCATACCTGCCACCAGGAAAGCACTCCTGCTGGGCTCTGGGCGCTGGGCTCACACCTCTTCAGGCTGGCAAGACACCACTGGCTGGACTTTATCTGTTTTTATGCCTCACTTCTCTAGATTTTGCATTTCTCAAGGACAGGCACTCTGTCTTCTCCACTCATCGTTATCTCTCTCGCCTCCAGCACAAGGCACACACTGATACCACGTACTTTGAAGACAGGCATGACTAACACCTTTGGGAGGTCACAATGTACAGAGCCCAGCTGTACTTATTACAGGCAAGGAATTAAAAGAATTGGGGCAAATTAAAGTATGTTGTATAAAAGGAGGCAATCGTTGCAGAACTCTAAGAGACTGGGTAGCACGCACCCCATCTGAACAAGGAAGGAGAGGTTTATCAATCACAGTGAGGCGGAGGTAAAGCACATGGAATCACAGATCCACACTTCTCTGTACTTGGCAAATGTAGGTCACTGGGGCTTTATTTTTGCTGAGATGAAGGGGTAGAAAAGAAAGAGCAGAAGATTAAAATACAGGGGGGTGCAGCCTTATCAGGCCACAGAGGAAGACAATACACCCAGTCCTGATGAGACCTGGTAGACTAGGAACAGATGGAAGGGGAGGAGGACCTCCCCATCAGTGGCCTGGGGGAGGGGCATGGGTGGAGAAGAGGGAGGGAGAGTGGGATTGGGAGGGGAAGAGGGAGGGAGCTACAGGTGGGATACGAAGTGAATAAACTGTAATTAATAAAAATAAAAATAAAATATATCTTTAAAAAAAGGAATTTCCAGCAATGGGTTGAGTCTTTATGGTAGGGTAGGTTGTGGTCAGTTAACGGAACCTCCCAGAGTACCTGTGGGCCTAAAGCCAGCTGCAGCTCTGTTTGTCAAACCCTGTACTCTGGAAGGGAAAGGGCTGCCCTTACCTAACTTGTATACACACAAAAACTGCTTTGTGAGCTAACTGGAGCCCTACATGGAATAATTTTAAAACCAAACAAAATGTTCTCTGGACCCAGCTGTGGAGCACAAGACCAGATGCCACTTGAGATGGCCAGAATTGGTGACTGTCACTCATGTCTGAGAAAAGTGACTGATTTCTTAGCTGAGGTTAGATTCTCTCAGCCTGAACATACACCCAACAAATTGTTACAGGTTATAGGAGAGCTGAAATGAGCTGTCTCTTCTCTGGCCTCTCCACCTGTAGCTCTCTCAGCCCATGAGAGAAAAGGCCCCCTAACACTCAACAAGAGCAAGAAACTAAGGTTTAATTCATGCAGGTGTTGGCCACAGAGCCAGGCTGGAACAGTAGGAACAGCCTCCTTGGAA